ATAGAATAGAATAGAATAGAATAGAATAGAATAGAATAGAATAGAATGAGATCTAGAGAATACTATTTATGTGTTATAACGTGGTGTTACTGACACATCTCTCTCTCTTTTTTTTAATGATACTTTAAATAGCAATAAGTTTCATTGTAAACTGGCCTGAAAGATGTTTTAATAGAAGTTTCTTTGCTCTCCAGCTTTTCATGCCTTTGCTGAGTGTATTCCTACATTTCCCGTGTGTTCCACATCTTCATTGAAGGGTGGTCGAAGCTTATAGTTTTATTCACGAAGTTGATGATTCAGTGGGTCCAGTGTCCTTGTAAATTATTAACAAATGTATACAGACTATAAGAAAGACTTATTTTATGTTCAAAAACAATAGTTGCATCCATAATTAAGCCTTGAATAAAAGACCAAAGTTCAGAGGACAAGTTAATTGCAATTTTTTTCTTTGTTGAGATATGTGTTTCGAGAAAATTTAGGAAAAAAAAAAGCATTGTGTGTTCATTTTAGTGAAGTGGTACATTCATTATTTAAATGTGATGATAGAGGCACAAGGTGTAAATAGTATGTAGGGGTGAGGGAACCAGTTCTACCCTGTTTGTTTTGAATGCTTAAATTTAAATAGATATTTTTGTAAGTGCTGATTTATGTTGGGTTTTTTGGAAATAACTTTGTAAGTTTAAACATGAGAGGTGTGATAATCAGGATGGAAGAAGGGCTGGTTGACCTCCAAAGTTGTTTCAACCCTTAAAGACTGAAGCTTAATCCTGAGTACAACAATGCCTTTGTAAGTTTAGAATCAGAATTTAATTTTGGAATTTTACTAATTCCAATTTTACTGTTTTACTGTTTTACTGTTCATTTCATTTAAACCCTTTTTTGGGTAGTTGATGACTATGACTCATTTAAAACAAATAAGCAATCAGGGTAGATAACAGTAGCTTTATTTTCTTGTGGTTTTTGTTGTTGTTGTTTTGTTTTTTGTTTTTGAATCCAGAAACAAGATGACTAGAAAAATCTTAATGGTTTATGGTACAGACTGAAGAACAACTGATATTTTATTTATGCTACAAGAGACTTGATTAAAAGAAATACACTTCTAAAGTGTATACCACATATCTTACTCACTAAATCCTCTCCAACTTGTTATTCCTCCAAGGGAACAGGACTAACCAGTAAGCATCCTCTCAGTACCGTTTCTCATAGTGGCCAGGCCAGGCAGGAGTGGTATTCAGGTCTGGAAGACTTCTGTAGGGGTGAAAAGTGGAACAACTGGGATTGGTCTGCTAGAGTTAGGAACCCAGAGGAGAGTTTTCACCTTGTAGGACTAGTATCACACACAAATCAAGTCTCGTGCATGGCATTAAAATTCTTTAGTTCCTATACACAGTGAAATTAAGTATAAAATGCTTATGGCCTAAATAAACAAGAAACCCAGTTTAATTACAAAGAAACTGAGGTTCATAAGTGAAGGCCATGTGCTTCATACCCAGAAAACTACAGAGCTATGCTTTAAAACATTGAGAACAGTCAAATTTGGTGTTAATAAAAAAAGTTAATTCTAAGATATATAAACCGCTGGAATTTTATGCTGTGCTGCTTTACTACTTAGAAATGTTGAAAATATTATATTCCAAATTGTGTTTCCAATTAGATGTTTCTGTAAATTTAAAAAAATCAATAAAAAAATTGAAAAAATTACCTTTTTTGGTGTCATTTAGTGACTGTTTTCCTTTTTATTTAACCTTTAACAGAAAAAAAGCATCTCACTTCTGTAAATATGTTTCTAACACAGTTTTTCATTGAATCATTTTAAAAGTACTGTTATTACTATTTACTCATTCACATTTAGTTTTGATATAGCTATTGAAATTCTTGTTCAGATCTTAGTGTATATTTAAAGGTTATATAAAAATTGATATAAAACACTGGGTTTCATTTAATTTCCTCATTTTAAGAACAAAAGGGTTTATAATAACCATGTGTAATAAATTATAGATTTTCCCCTTAAATGATTAGAAATAATCCTATTAATAGTTTACAACCTGTATTGCTTACAAAAAAATGTAAGGGCATATTGATCACTTCCATAAATTTCTACCTTATAAATTGAGTTAATGCCTTTAAAAAAATACATCTTTATTATAAAATTTTAGAGTGTTGGGAGGTATTTTGGTATTTGAGCTGCCTGGAAACAATTTTGAAAGATTTTTTCAGTTAGGAAATAACCTCATTTTGAGGCATCTTTCAAAGATGAAGGTAATGCAAGAGATGAAGCCTACCAAAAGAACGGTAGGTTGCTGGTGGTGCCACTGCAGTCACATAGGCTGATACACTTTATTTTTATTGTACTGTGTTGTGTGGTAAATGTCTACTGCTCGTAACTCTAATAACGTCGATAGGCTTCACTAAGTAACTATTAAGTAAAATCTAAACATCATAGAAGTTTTTTACCTTAAAGCTTACTTTATTATGCTATATTAAATATAGGGAACAAAGCAATTAATGCTTGATTTCTCAGAATCTGACATTTATAAATATTTTCTAAATTAAAAAATATTTTCAGGGCGGTGGTGGCACATGCCTTTAATCCCAGCACTTGGGAGGCAGAGGCAGGCGGATTTCTGAGTTCGAGAGTTCGAGGCTATCCTGGTCTACAGAGTGTGTTCCAGGACAGCCAGGGCTACACAGAGAAACCATGTCTCGAAAAACCAAAAAAAAAAAAAAAGTATTTTCAGTCATACTGTTTTGTGTACGTTGTGTTTGGACTACATATTATTTAGGCACACATAAGGTGGAATTCTGTTTCTTTCTAGCAGAGACCCAGAAACCAAAAATGAAGAAGCATATGATTTAGCCAGATGACTTAGTCTGTGATTCCATTACATAGTCTGACCAGTGGCAAAGGCACCTCAGTCCTTTTGGTAAATGTTTCTTATGTTTGAAGATCATAGCAACTCATGTCTACCATTCCAAGTGTCTCAGAGATATTTTATCACTACCTTAAAGGGTTTTTCATAATCAGCCTCTGAGTTGCTTCCTAATCATTTTTTGTTTTTATCTACCCAAACCCCTGTGATTCATTTAGCTGTACCAAATAGGAATGACCCAAGTGTCTCTAAGATATTACAAAAATGAAGGTAGGGACTATAAAAGCTAGGACATAAAAGCCCTTGTAGCTTCTGTCAATTAAATCTTGTTTTCCTCATTCATATTCTCTGTTTTCTACTACAGAATCATTTGTGATTCCTTGTTTTGGTTATAAAATACTGTCTTACGCCCCACACTTCACAGCTTGCCTCCCATTTTCTACTGATGCTACAGGTCATTGCTCTAGGGTGACTGAAGGAATTCAGATTCAGGCACCCAAAGGTTTAACAAACATTTGTATTGTTTTAGTAAAACACTAGAAATCACAAGTTCAGGACTGAGTGTGATAATTCTGAAAGATTACTGAGTATAGTGATAACTGCCATGGCCTGGTAATTTAAGGTTTGAAGAATATATCTGAACACTCACCAGTGATGCAGTATGTGATAGACTAAGTACCTTTCATCTCACTTTTCTCCACTGATCAGATCTGTCATAATCACTAGAGAAAAGGTTTAAAATTCAAATAATTTTTAAAGCATATACTAATTTGAAACTAATTACACAAATTTTGAAAAATTACCGAATGTTTTTCCCACAAAGATAAAGTAGAAAAGTACTTAGCCAAGATATGTCAATAAGTCTTTATTTGTTATACACAGTGCTACAACAGTTACAATCAGAGAGCACACTGCAATTTTCAAGTAGACAACTGAGAAAGAGCAAGTCTGCATGCTGCCTTCATGGTGCATAGAAAACTGGTGAACTAACACTAGCTGGTAGGCTTATGAATCACTCTGCAGTGTTAATAAAGGCCACTTTAGTCTGGAAGGCTACTTCTCTGACAGGTTTTGAGCGGTTCTACATTGCAGATCTTGTAAAGGATACAACAAGCGAATGTTGGAAAATGTTATTTCTTGTTTTGAAGATGGAGAGTCAATTTCTGCACCACTTGAGAGAGCCATCTTACTAGCTTATGTTGGCTTTCCTTTGTCATACATTGGCAATTTAAGAATTTAGAGTTTTTGAAAAAGTCTAGGGTTATACAGAATACTTATAGAATCACTACTTATAACATTTGTCCAGTTCTCACCTGTTGTCCTGCTAAAACCCCTCATCTGATGAGGTTTAGTGAAAGCCTCTAACAATTGTAGCAGACTTCATATACTATGTATGGAAACATGTCTAAGACATGGATGTGTCCACAGGAAAATGGCAGTGCTTCTATTGTAAGTAAGTGTCAAGTTTTCTCTTGATGTTATCAAAAGAATCTGCTCCCATGTAGTCAGCCTGGCCCTGTTCCCACCGTTCCTTCCTTTCTTCTGAGGACATACAAGGTTGTGGTGTAGCTGGGGCCTCCCCAAAGGACAGGTCTGACAAGGCTCCTGAGACATGTTCCTAGAAGACAGAGTCATCAGAGCCACCTTAAGAGCTGAAGTTCTGATGAACTTAAAGAATGCAATAAACAGAATGTGAAGAAAGCCAAAATGAATCATCATGCAAAAACTGAAAAGCTTTACATGAAACAAACAAAAGACAAGAATACAAGGGCAATATGATTTTTTTTCCGCTAAAAAATGAAGACTTCTTGACTCAGTGAAAACATTGGGAGAACAAGATAATTAGGGTTAATGTTTAAGTTCTGCATACCTTTCTACAGAAGCCACAAGAGAAAGCCAGTGTATAGACCAAGTCTGAAAGCTGCAAACAGTTCAGTAGAAAGTGTAAGATGGACGGACAAGGGAACACAAATTTCACGATAAATTCTTGATTCATGTGGGCTTGGAAAGGTTGAGAACTTAAACAAAATGATTCCTCAGATCCTGTGCTCCATAAAGAACTTACCCAGAGAGAGAGAGCACATTCAAGTCATTGTTATATGAAAGAAAGCTATGTGGTTTGAGGCTGTACCAAACGTTTTCCCTCCAAGCTTTCATTTGGCTTGCAAGTAGCATCTATTCTTGCAGGTTCTGATAATCTGCTTGGTTTTTGACAACTGTTTCCCATCTTCACCTTTTTTTTTTTTTTTTTTTTTTTTTGGTTTATAATCCTCAGCTTTTGTGTTGGGGAAAGAATGGTACATGCAGCAAATCTACTCTACCTTAAACTAGATTCTCCTTGCATTTGTGTAGGCAATCAACTGAGTGTACCATAAACGACAACTTGTGTTGTCAATCAAAAACTCTAAGCTGAGTTGTTGCTGAAAATCTTACTAGAGGAAGAAAAATGACTAAAAACAAGTCATGCTTTTTAAAGGAAAAAATGGTGGAACTTTTTTTTTTTGTACTTGGTTTACTGGCATAAATATTGTAATTGTAAGTATACTGAAACCCCCAAGAGTTTTGGTAAAGGGTTTTTACTGATGTGTAAAACTGTAGATGAACATTTAAATGTACTAAAACTCCAAGAAGTTTAGTTACCATCATGCGAACAACTATTAATCCATGTACTGAAGCTCCAAGGAGTTTAAGCACAGAACAAGGTCAGAGTTCAGGCAAAGCAAGGAAGTATGCACATCAGATCAGCCCTGTCTTTGCCTTCTACTTGCGACAGATGTTAAAGACAGGGTCAGCACAGTACAGTAACTAGAGTTTACTCTAGTGAATGCCCCTAAGAGAGAGGTGCCTGAGGTCAAGCCTGGTATGGGGCTAACAAAATAGATGAGTATTTAATTATAAAATTCTCCTTTCAGCCATAAAATGCTATACTTAATTACAGGCTCTAGAAATCAAATTTTCGTAAAGATTATAGTCTTTCATACATAGATTTGTGTCCTAGTTGTTACTGTAACCTTTTACATGAGTAAAATTCCATGACTTCTAAGGCTTATAATTTCTCTATAAAGAGGGGATAATAACGACTACTTAGTTGAATGGTCTAGTTGTTTGAGGCAGTTAAGGACTTACTGTGTTGGTAGGCACTGCTGTGAGTAGGTATGTGATACACAGTACTGATTAAGAAGAATATGCTATTTATCCTTGCCTTACGCCTATATTGAGGACTATCAATTACTCATTAGTTGTTTTTGTTGTGTGTGTCTTAATATGTAAAATAACATTCTTCTTCATCTTCCAATTCATCATGAAGAACAAACCTCAGAAAAGTACCTTTAAAATCAGAAAATATGGTAATGAAGGTTGTTATTATAAAATTTACAGTGTCATCTCCCTCCCACAAAGGGATCATTTCAAGATCTTAGGAGAATAAAACAGGATATTCTTACAGTATTTATTGTGTATTATATATTCCTATTGTGATTTTCTTTTTACAGAAAGTTACTTTTTCTAAGAATATGGAAAATACAAGATATATTTAAAGGTTTGAGGTTTCTAAATCTTAAGTGTGAAATTACCTCCACCCCTCCCAGCCAGTGCTGGAGATGAAAGACAGGGCTTGGCCATACTAGGTAAGCGTTTCCCCACGAGGCTAAATGCCTAGCCTATGTACTCTCTTCATGTGGCTTTACAATATTAAGAATCATCTAAGCATCATTTTTATGACTAATCAGCCAAGAATTCTATAGTTTCAGTGTATGAGTTCATAGAATTCCAACAACATATATTCTCAGGTTTAATGAAATTTGCCACACAATCTACTTTTATTTCTGCAGTGGTATCACTTCCTAGATCTAAGATGGAGTTTTTCCCCATATAGTCCTACCTCTATTTGAAATACTAATTAAGAATTACTGAATTCTATTAGTATATCAAATTTAAAAAACACAGCACAAATTTCCTGAAATAAGGGTAAAACCAAACAGAACTTACCATCATTAGATAGGAGCCAGCATCTTTGACAAGGCCATGGTGTTGGAGCAGGGGTAAGACACTGGTGGTGAAGATGTCCCACCACAGGTTCAGAAACTCTGGGTGACTCACAGTTGGGTCTTGGGATTCACATTTGACACTTTTTGTTTGGGGACTGTAAGTGTAATTCCATGGCTTGGTTCGTCCCAGGAAGTGTACAACTTTGGCATTTTTACCAAACCTGCGAATTGAACAGGTAGAAAGGGTGAGTAGATTCAGAGGACCTTTTCCTGTCCAGCTTCAGTTATGCACCGTCCATCCTGCGGTAGCAGTTGGAAAGAAAACTACACTAAAAATAAGAGACATTTAGGAAATGCTCATGTTCTACCTCCTAGGAGCTAATTAATCCCTTAGGCACCCATTTTAAAGAGACGTATTTGTGCAGTGGTAGTCATTACAATCTCACAGCTGCTGCATTGCTGCTAGTCAAACTAGAAGCAGTTCACACCCTTGTTAGATGAGGTTACTGAACAGTAAATGTACACTCTTCCTTTTCTCCACAGAGAGGGTGCACTTCCTACCTCATACTAAACATACCCATTTTACTTGATTGCCTTGTCAACTTGCTTATGTTTACTCTTTCTGAGAAGTAGAAACTCCTGCCAGCAGAACCATGCTGTCTGCCAGTTAGATAGGATATCTGTCTCAAGTCAGTGGCCTGGCTCCAGTTCCAATTAGGAATGGAATAAAACTGCCTCTTCTGGCCTGTGAGGATATTAAGTAATAAATACTTGCTTATCAGGAATGTAATGCTTTGATATGCATATACACTGCATAATTAGATCAGTGTACTCAATCATTTCCTGAAGACTGTCACTCCATTTTGGTGAAAACTTTGAAAATCCTTCCTGTGTTTTGAAATATATAGCATGTTACTGTCTAGAGTCACCCTAGTATGTTGTAATGTTTCTTCAGTGGCAAGTATTTAAAAACTGTGGTGAGAGAGAGGGGTCAAGTTAAAAGCATGTGCTGCCCTTTGAGAGGACCTGAGTTCAGGTCCTAGTGCCCACACTGGGCAGCCCACAACACACATAGTTCAATGGGGTCTAGTGACCTTCATGGGCTTCTGAGGACACTTCACTCACTTGTACTCCTCCCCCCCCACATATACATAAACCTAGGAAAGAGAACAGGAGTTATAGATGCAAGCATCACCAACAGAAAACAAGAGTTAGAAGAGAGAATCTCAGTGGCAGAAGATACAATATAAGACAGACACAACAGTCAAGGAAAATAAAAAAAAGCAAAAAGCTCCTGTCTCAAAACATTCAAGAAATCCAGGACACAATGAAAAGACCCAACCTGAGAATAATAGGTACAGAAGAGTGTGAAGATTCCCAACTCAAAGGGTCAGCAAATATCTTCCAACAAAATTATAGAAGAAAACTTTCCTAACCTAAAGAAACAAATGCCCATAAACATGCAAGAAGCCTACAGAACACTAGAAAAATATTCCTCTCATCATATAATAATTAAAACATCAATTGCACAGAAGAAAGAAAAAATAATGAAAGCAGTAAGAGAAAAAGGTCAAGTAACATACAAAGGCAGACCTATAAGAATTACACCAGACTTCTCACCAGAGACTATAAAAGCCAGAAGATCCTGGGCAGATATCATACAGACCATAAGTGAACACAAATGCCAGCCCAGGCTACTGTATCCAGCAAAACCCTCAATTACCATAGATGGAGAAACCAAAGTATTCCAAGGCAAAACCAAATTTAGACAATATCTTTCTACTAATCCAGCCCTACAGAGGATAATATAAGGAAAAGTCCAACACAAGAAAGAAAATTACACCCAAGAAAAAGCAAGAAACTAATCTTTTCACAACAAACCCAAAAGAAGAGAAACATAACTAACATAATTCCAACTCTAACAAAAAAAAAAAAAACAGGAAACAAGAATCATTGTTCCCTAATATCTTTCAACATCAATGGACTCAATTCCTCAATAAAAAGACATAGGTTAACAGACTGGATACTTAAACAGGATCCAGCATTTTGCTGCATACAGGAAACACAACTCAGAGTCAAAGACAGACATTCCAACAAAGTAAAAGGATGGGGAAAAAATTTCCAAGCAAATGGACTCAAGAAAAAAAGCTAATATCCAACAAAATAGACTTTCAGCCAAAAGTTATCAAAAAAAGGCAGGCAAGGTCACTACATACTTATCAAAGAAAAAATCCACCAGGATGAATTCTCAATTCTGAATATTTATGCTCCAAATGAAAGGGCACCTACATTTGTAAAAGAAATGCTACTAAAGCTCAAAACACACATTGAACCTCACATAATAATAGTAGGAGATTTCAATACCACATCCTCACCAATGGACAGATCACAAAAATGGAAATTAAACAGAGACATAGTAAAAAATAAAAGTTATGAACCAAATGGATTTAACAGATATCTACAGAACATTTCACCCTAAAACAAAAGAATATACCTTCTTCACAGTATCTCATAGTACCATCTCAAAAATCGACTGTATGCTCAGACACAAAAGAAACCTCAACAGATACAAGAACATTGAATTAACCCCATGTATTCTATTGGACAACCATGGACTAAGACTAGTCTTCAATAGCAGCAAAAACAACAGAAAGCCCACATACACGTGGAAGCTGAACAACTATCTACTCAATGATAACCTGGTCAGAGAAGAAATTCAGAAAGAAATTGAAGACTTTTTAGAATTCAATGAAAGTGAAGGCACAACATAACCAAACGTATGGGAAATAATGAAAGCAGTGCTAAGAGGAAAACTCATAGCTCTGAGTGCCTCCAGAAAGAAACTGGAAAGAGCATACACTAGCAGCTTAACAAAACACGTGAAAGCTCTAGAACAAAAAGAAGCAGTACATCTAAGAGGAGTAGAAGGCAGGAAATAATCAAACTCAGGGCTGAAATCAACCAAGTAGAAACAAAAAGAACTATACAAAGGATCAACAAAACTACTAGCTGGTTCTTTGAGAAAATCAACAAGATAGATAAACACTTAGCCAGACTAAGCAGAGGGCACAGAGACAGTATCCAAATTAACAAAATCAGGAATGAAAAGAAAGATATAACAAGGAGTCCAGGAAATTCAAAAAATAAACAGATCCTACTATAAAAGTCTATACTCAACAAAATTAGAAAACCTGGATGAAAAGGATGATTCTCTAGACAGATACCAGGTACCAAAGTTAAATTAGGATCAGATAAACCATCTAAACAGCCCCATAACACCCAAGGAAATAGGTGCAGCCAATAAAAGCCTCCCAACCAAAAGAAGCCCAGAGATGGTTTTGGTGCAGAATTCTATCAGACCTTCAAAGAAGACCCAATACCAATACTCTTCAAACTATTCCACAAAATAGAAACAGAAGGAACACTATCCAATTCTTTCTATGAAGCCACAGTTACACTGATACCAAAATCACACAAAGGCCCAACAAAGAAGAGAACTACAGACCAATTTCCCTTACATATATCGATGGAAAAATACTCAATAAAATTCTAGCAAACTGAATCCAAGAACACATCAAAACAATCATCCATCATGATCAAGTAGACTTCATCCCAGGGATGCAGGGATGGTTCAATATACAGGAATCTATCAACGTAATCCACTATATAAACAAAATCAAAGAAAAAACCCACATGATCATCTCATTAGATTTAGAAAAAGCCTTTGATATATTACAATACCCATTCATGTTAAAAATATTGGAGATATCAGGAATTCAAGGTGCATACCTAAATATAATAAAACCAATATACAGCAAACTAATAGCCAACATCAAACTAAATGGGGGAGAAACTCAAACCAATTCCATTAAAATCAGATACTAGATAAGGCTGCCCACTCTTTCCTTACGTATTCAATACAGTACTGGAAGTCCTAGCCAGAGTAATTAAACAACAAAATGAGATCAAAGGGATACAAATTGGGAAGGAGGAAGTCAAGATATCACTATTTTCAGATGATATGATAGTATACATAAGCAACGCAGAAAAGTTTTCCAGAGAGTGCCTACAGCTGATAAACAACTTCAGCAAAATGGCTGGATACAAAATTAACTCAAACAAATCAGTAGTCTTCCTCTACTTAAAGGATAAGCAGGCTGAGAAAAAAAAATAGGGAACAACACCCTGCACAACAGTCACAAATAATATAAAATACCTCACCGTGAATCTAACGAAGCAAGTGACAGATCTGTATGGCAAGAACTTCAAGTCTCTGAAGAAAGAAATTGAAGAAGACCTAAGAAGATGGAAAGATCTCCCATACTCATGGATTGGCAGGATTAATATAGTAAAAATAGCCATATTACCAAAAACAATCTACAGATTCAATGCAATCCCCATCAAAACTCCAACTCAATTCTTCATAGACTTTAGAAAGAGCAATTCTAAAATTCATTTGGAATAACAAAAAAAATCTAGGATAGCGAAAACTATTCTCAGTAATAAAAAATACTTCTGGAGGAATCACCATCCCTGACCTCAAGCTCTAGTACAGAGCAATAGTGATGAAAACTGTATGGTATTGATACAGAAACAGGGAAGTAGAACAATAAAATAGACTTGAAGACCCAGAAATGAACCCACACACTTATTGTCACTTGATTTTTGACAAAGAACCTAAAACTATTCAATGGAAAAAAGACTGAATTTTCAACAAATGGTGCTGGTTCAACTGGTGGTCTTCATGTAGAAGAATGCAAACTGATCCATACCTATCTCCTTGCACAAAACTCAAGTCCCAGTGGATCAAACACATCCACATAAAACCAGATACACTGAATCTAGCAGAAGAGAAAGTGGGAAAGTGCCTCAAATACTTGGGCATAGTGGAAAACTTCCTGAACAGAACATCAATGGATTATGCTTTAAAAGCAGCAATTGACAAATGGGACCTCATAAAATTATAAAGCTTTTGTAAAGCAAGGGACATTGTCAATAGGGCAAAATGGCAGCCCATAGATTGGGAAAAGATATTTATCAACCCTATATCTGATAGAGGGCTAATATCCAAAATACACAAATAACTCAAGAAGGCAGACTCCAGAGAACCAATCAACCCTATTAAAAAGTGGAATGCAGAGCGAAATAGAGAATTCTTGACTGAGGAATCTCAAATGGCTGAGAATCACTTAAAGAAATGTTCAATATCTTTAGTCATTAG